TGAGTTCGTTTTGTTCGCTTATTATTTTTGTAAGTATTTCGGTGTTTTTTATGGAATGTTTTATTAACTGTTTGATTTCTGTAGCGTCCTTGCTGGGGTTGTTCTGTTCTTGATTGTCTAAGGGTGTCGACCGGTTGACTACTTGCGCGTAGCTTCGGTTTCTAACGGTGTTGGTGTTAGTGTGGTTATTGTTTTGTTCATGCTGTGTATTTGGTGTTGACATAGATTCTGTGTTGTCCTGTTGCGTGTGGAAATTGTTGTGTGTCCTGTTACGAAGCGGCGGGAAAAGGTTGCTTTGTAGTTGTTTTCTGACTACGCAGCCTTTTTAGCTGGCTGGGTGATTTCCACCGCAATTGTGACATTTTACGTCATTTATTTTTCCCGTGTGTGGGCAGTTCACTGTCAGGTGCTTTCCTGCGCATTTGACACACGCCGGGTTTCTGTTGCAGTAGTTGTTTGTGTGTCGGTATTGTTGACACCGCATGCATTGTGGTATATCTTTTTTATGTCTAGGTGGCTCGACTGTGATTATTGTGTTTGAGATTTTTTTAATTTCAAATATTTCTTTGTTGTTGCTTTTCGGTTCTAGCTCTATTATGAATAGCGGTAGTGGTTGCTTAGTGTCAAATTTGGTTATATTGTTGATCGTTCTTACCTGGTGTCCGATCTTGGAATTCCTCGCATATTTTGTTTGTATTTGTTTTAGGGTGTAAACCTCTAATTACTACTTTGTAGCTCTTGTCGGATTTGCGTTGGTAAGTGTAATACCCAGCGTTTTTTTCCTTTAGCGCTTTAGTTACTTTCCTGTAGTTTTCTGGGGTATTAGTTTGTTCTTTTATTTGGTCCAGTTTGAGCTGTTTGATAGTGTAGCTTTCTTTTCCTGCCGTGCTGTTTAGGAGATCAATGAGGGGGTCTATTATTTTTGCATCTATGTAGATTGGTGGTGGCTTGGGAGTGTGTCTTCTTGGCTTTTTTGTAGGGTCTGTGTCCATCTCTTCTGTCAGTGAGCTAAAGGAGTTTTGTGTAGGAATTTCTTGTAGCCATTCTTGTCTTTCTGTTTCTGTGGTCCTCCTATCGTTTGTGTTTGTGTTTATTTTTCTTTTTTTGCTGGGAGTTACAGTCTTCCAGCTTTCGTTATGTTGTGGTAGATCCTTGTTGGTATTGCTCTTTACGTCGTCTTTTTGTATTATTTCCATTTCTATTTCTTTTGTATTTGAGCAGTCCTGTACTTCACTTGTTGTTTTAATTGGGCTACTAGTAGGATACTTTACCTTCAGGATTCAGAAATCAGGAACCCCAGAGACATGAACCATAGTATAATTAACAATGTCGGAGAAAAAGAAATTAATTTGACCGAAATTTCAGAAGATTGGCTATTAGCGGAACAACCAGCGGTTATTAACCATGTGCACCAGTCCATAATGCACTTAGGCACTTGACATAAGTCAAGTTCAGGTGGGGGGTGGCAGCCCTCAGGAGGAGGAGCAGGAGCCTCAACCGCCGGAAGAAGAACAACGTGTCTCCGCGGGATGTTGGAGCCCGGAATCGAGGGTCACCGAGGAAGAACTGGCCGAGGTCGTCGGGAGTATCGGAGCGCGGAAAGCTCCGGGTCCCGATGGAGTCCCGGCTCGCATGCGGAAGGACTTAGCCGGAGTCTTGGCCCTGAGACTAATGCGTCTGTTCGACGGATGCCTGTCTCGAAGTGAATTCCCCGCTTCGTGGAAGAAGGGGCGGATGGTCCTGCTGCAGAAGCCGGGGCGCTCCCCGGACTCGCCTTTCGCCTTCCGGTTCGGTACAGGACAAGCTGCTGGAGAGAGTGGTGGGTGCCCGCCTGGAGTCGCATCTGTCCCAGAGTGTGCTCGGACTGCACGACGGCCAGTTCAGTTTCCGGAGAGGGCCCTCTACGATCGACGATGTCGCCCGCGTCCGCTCCCTTGTCGAAGGGGCCGAGCGGCGTGGTTACGTGGCGCTGACCGTGTCGCTGGACGTGGTCAACGCCTTCAACAGCATCCCCTGGGACAGGATATTCCGGGCCCTCTAATTTCATCGGGTGCCCGCGTACCTGCGGGGTGTGATCCGGGCGTTCCTCCAGGACCGGAGTATCGTCTATACCGTCCGGAGCGGAGGGGTGACCGGGAGGGCTGCACACCGCGGGGTCCCGCAGGGTTCGATAAATATCCCACAATACTCAGACAATAGTAGCTCTTATCGTCCGTGCCTTCAAAAGTTTTATATGGACATGGTTCGCTTTGCCATTCTAGATCATAGGATCCCAAAAGATCCGAGATACATCCAAAGATTTAAAGTTTATCACAGAGAAATCGATCCTTTTGTGCTATTACGTTTGATTAAACGGACATTTCGATTTGCCCTCCCATGCAAAATCTGGCGCAGCAATTCATAAGGATAGAAATTTAATTTTGAGAAATAGTAGCGAGAGAATGATAGAGAAAATGAAAAAGGCTCTTTGGAAGAACAGAAAATGACAAGGGCATGTTAGCATGGTAGCAGTGAGTAGCTGGCACGATGTATTTAATTGCGAAATTTACAGCAACAAACGAACCCAATAATAAATATATACATTTTCATTAATTTTTAATATAATATGCGCGCATGTTAATAAAATGAAAGAGATACGGAATGTAAGTCGAATAGAGAGAAGTTCGGCAGGTCATTCATTGATCGAGGGCCACATTAGTTCCATAATCCAAGTATAAAATTAAATCGTTTGTAACGTGCAAAATAAGCCTCGAATGGCATTTTTGTACAGGCTGTTCGAAAGAAGGATTCTACACCGTAAAATGAAATTCAAGGTCAAGCCTTTTTCTATTCCATCGTATTCCACTTCACGAGAATAAAAAGTCTGGATCGCAACTTAACCGTTCTACAATGAAACTTTAATTTATTTTTCCAAAAAGAACAGTTCAGTTGCGATCAACCAGTTCAGTTCGAACAACCTGTATGTGCACGAATCTTTTTAATTATCTTGATACCTAGAATCATAGATTATACATATATATCTGGCCCTCTTTTTTCGACAAGCAAGGAGGATAATAGCAATTCTAATTTGTAAAAGAATAAAACACTACTCACAAATACACTACCAAACAGCCACAACAATGTTACGTTTAACAGTGTTAAGCGTAAAATTCCAAGCCACAAGAGCCTCGAAGCTCTTAAAACGTTATTCGATAAACGAAAGAAAACAAAAAAGGCCACTATAATAAGGGTATACACGTACTCATCACATCATATATAAATGACAACAAGGCGTAGGACCACGCCCTGGGAAACCCCGATGAATCTGATATTCTCTTATTGGATGGTGACTGGTCGGCGCCTTCGGCCCCCGCCAGTTTGCCGATCCGGTGCGGAGAACCTCGGAGAAGTTGGTGGGCCCGTATCTGCCAAGACCACTCACCTCACCTTCTTGTGGGGCTCCCCGTCACTCTGCACCAGCCTTGACCAAGGCAGGGTGCGAAAGAGTGAGTGGCACCAAGACGGAGACTTCGTTGACGACCTCGGCGAACCAAAAAGAAAAACATGGATGGAGACAACACGAGTAAGAAAGTTTACGGTGCAGGGGAGGGATACCACAGTACCGGCGCAGCCG